ACATTCAATTGATCTGCGAGTTGTCGAGTTTGAGCGTCATCCTCATCCAACAATGCTTGCAATTCGCTGTCTTCACTCTTCAAACTTTTTCGGTGGTTTTCCACGTTCTTCGTTTCTCACGTCAAAATCGCCACTTTTGAATTTTTTAAACCACTCAAAGCACTGTGATTTACCAAGAGCATGCTCACCGTAAGCTTCGACAAGCATTCGATGCGATTCTGCAGCAGTTTTCTTCAAATGATAACAGAAAATCAATGCTGTCCGCAAATCGTAGTTCCCAGGCACAAAATTCGACATGTTCAACGCTATTACAAACTATACTGTTGTATGAAACTTGTATTGTTGTGAGTTGAAAATCTTTGTCAGATGTCAGAACAAAGAAATAGCGTCAATGACGCGGTCTGACAGCAACTACATTGACAGCTATGGCCATCTGTTGATAAATTCCGGTTGCATATTTACATACCTGGTAACATTACAATACCTACATATAACATTATAATACATACATATAACATTATTGTGAAACAATCCAATAATCATAATTAATTTTTTTTAAATATTTCTGTTTTTAATTAGAAATAAAATTATTGTAGTAATAGATATTAACAGTCTAGTACAATTTATATATATAATATGTGGCCCGTATTCAGAATGCGCTTCTTCATTGCGCATGCGTCGGAACTTTCTCACATGGCGATTTGTTGACGCATTCTTTCGCGATATCAACAATCTAGATATCTATAGTTTTAACCGGATCGAACACCTGACGTAATGCTAATACCGGCGGTACTGTAACTTTCAAGCCTTATAACTCGAAAAGTACTTAATGAAAAATAACTTGCAGTGTTTTGAAAAGCTCTTGATTCCAGCTATTAGATTCTGAAATAAAAAATAGGGTATTCCGTTAAAAAAAATCGATGTAACCTTGACTTCATCTTGACGATGTCACCCAAGGTCAAACTGATAAGATCAGTAAATAGATCTTTTCAAGCCCTATAATTTTTGTCTGAAACATTTTTCTAGAAAACTTATATTTTCCGAGTTATTCAGGAGTACTGACCTTTTTTCCCCACCCTGTATAATAATATATAAAAAATATATATAATTATATATACCTTTTCATTTATTATTATATATAATTATGTACATTTTTTCACATTTCTTTAACCTGTAATTTTTATTTAAAAACAAAGCAAAAATTGTTCTTCTAATTATTTTTCAATTCTAAATATTTTTCTAATATGTCGAACAGCGATTGTAAAAAAGAAAGAAAACACATACAGACATTTTATACATAATGCAAAAAAATTTCAGACTGTAATAAAAATTATTTTTCTCATTATTTGTTTAATTATCTTATTTTTTTCTATTACATATTTACATATGAACCGAAATTATACAAGAGAAAGAAAATGCGTCTTCCATGAGACACCCCTTATTATTCTCCTCATATCATTTATTGCTCAAAGACGTTCAATTTATTGCCCAGCGCGTTCAACTATTGTCCGCGAGCAGCTGGGCAGTAGACGCCCATGAGCAGTGCCCATCTGCTGATCCCTGGTTTAACGTACCGACAAGTGACGGATCGCGCAAACTGTTTATGCAAAACTGCTCACGCACTGTCTGTACGCACTTTTATACTTGACACGGTTTCTTTAAAAATAATCATGCATCTCTTTCACATTTATATTTAATGAAAATGATATTTAACAACTTAAAAATTTAATGCTTTCTTTACGATAGTAACATATATATTGATTTAAAATTTTATATACTTTATATAATTTAATTGATATACATTATTTATGATATTGCTGTTTTATGAAATTAATTAAATATTTCCTTTATAACATACTAATCCGATGGATTGTGGCAATTCGGAGATTATTAGAATTTAAGTGATCAAAGTCTGTATGGAAAATTGATAATAGTCGCAAATTAAATATAAGCATAACTAACCAAATAAAACGGTAAATTGTCCTGCAATTAACAACTAGATATTTTGCTTCCCGCGTTCAAGCTTCAAATATGAGCATTTTAAATTACAGTCGAATTTGTAATAGATAAAATGAAATGAAAGATGGGATTTTAGTTCGATGCTCTTCAGGATCGTACAGACTTGCATGCGGGACTAGAACAAGATACTGCTGTGGAGCAGGCCAAGAAGGCTAATGAACTGCACGAATTGTTCAACCCGGTTGGTTTTTTAACGACTAATCACAGTAGTATTATTTATTACTCTAAACAAATTGACATGACGTATGTTTTTTAAATTACATTCTGCTAACAAGCGAGCCACTAATATTCGTCGAAATGTTTAATATCTCGCATACTTACTTATTATTCTAAACGAATTGTAAAGTACGTTTTTTGAATGACATTCTGCCAATAAACGAGCCACTAATAATTCATCGGAACATTTAATGTTCTGCGTACAAAAATATCTCTTACGTTTAGGATTGGTGAAAGTTTGATAATGGCTGCGTTCAGCAGAGAAAGCAGCTTTGCAATTGTTGTAAAATTCTTCAATATGATTGATTTATATGTTTAGATCTATAAAAAACCAAAAGTAAGAACCAATCGTATTGACAAATTTTACAACAGTTGCAAAGCTGCTTTCTCTATTGAACGCAGCCAATATTTGAATAAAGTTTGAAAATACAGATATGCATGATTTATGCTTTATAAGAGCCTATTTTATGTAAATGTTACGTTTACAAATGCGAATTCCTTAAAACCTTAAACTAATTTTGAAACTTACAAAATCTACTTTTTTTTCTCAATAAATGTTAAATCTTTCTCTCTTTCTTTAAAATCAAATTATTTTACAATCGTACTTTTGCATGTAGCACCATTTATTAAACGCTTATCTTGTAAATTGAAGGAAAATTCACTGTCTTTGTTTCTTATCTTCATATTTTTGTAAAGAAAAACATATATAGAGTATATATTATTAATAATATATACAATATATATATTATTTTAATTTAATTTTATTTTATTTAGAACAATGAGTACATTCAATCAGTGGCACGATGTCTACAAATGATGCTTCGTATAGACGAATATCGCTTTGCATTCGTGTCTGTCGATGGAATTTCGACTCTTCTCAGCGTTCTGTCTGGCAGAGTAAACTTCCAAGTACAATATCAGCTTATTTTTTGTTTGTGGGTACTTACTTTCAATCCTCTCTTGGCAGAAAAGATGAATAAGTGAGTAGCATACCCTTTGTTTCCAGTTTTACTAGAGATACTCTAATAGATCATATTCAATTATTACAATGTTGTCTTACGTGATACATCGCAGATTCAATGTCATACCTATTCTTGCTGATATACTCAGCGACTCAGTCAAAGAAAAAGTAACACGTATTATACTTGCAGTGTTTAGGGTAAGTTGGAACGTGTTATAGAGTAAAAAAATAGTTAATTTTAATTATCTCATAGTTGGTATTTTTTTTTATTAACAGAATTTGATTGAGAAAGTAGAAGATGGACAAGTGGCTAAGGAACATTGCATTGCTATGGTACAATGCAAGGTGTTGAAACAGCTTTCGATATTATGTCAACGAAAGTTTGATGATGAAGACATTACTGATGATATCGAGTTCCTTAATGATAAACTACAAGCATCTGTGCAGGATTTAAGTTCATTCGACGAATATTCGACAGAAGTGAAATCTGGTCGTCTAGAATGGTCTCCTGTTCACAAATCGGGCAAATTCTGGCGTGAGAACGCTAGTCGTCTTAACGAAAAAAATTACGAACTTTTGCGGATTCTAGTTCACCTATTAGAAACTAGTAAAGACCCGCTTGTTCTCAGCGTGGCTAGTTTCGACATCGGCGAATACGTGCGCCATTATCCACGTGGCAAGCAGTATGTTAACTTATAGAAATATCGTATTAAATTCTATCTACAATTATAATTTGTTAAAATATTGTTTCGTTTATTTTAGCATAATTGAACAACTTGGTGGAAAACAGCGCGTAATGCAACTTCTTGGACACGAAGATCCTAATGTTAGATACGAGGCTCTTCTTGCAGTACAAAAACTTATGGTACATAATTGGTAAGCTGCAGAGTTAAAAAAATTTTACTCATCTTTTATTATTTCATGTATATATCTTAAAACAATTGTTTTCAATACTAGTAGTATATCGGAACATGATCTATATATTTTTTAATTTTATTATAATTTTGTAAATATTTCTCAAATTTGTTTGTTTATTTTCTAGGGAGTATCTTGGAAAGCAATTAGAGAAAGAACAAACAGGTGCATCTGGAGCACCTACTAACAAGCCTGGAGTACAAGTGTCAGCGAAAGCTTGAATATTCGTGCAACTTGCACAAATTTTCTGATTTCGAGAAAGTTTCTAGAGTATTATATAGCTCATGATATAGTTATCATCCGCTTATTATAAATTACATAAAATTCAAGATACATACATTCCCTTCCATTCTATATTGTAAAAAAAAAAGAGAAGATATATAGCCAAATCCATCTCTCCTTTGTGCAAGTTAAGGCTTCTAAGTAGTCATCACAATCATATTGAATCATGACGTCAGAAGCGAGAAATAACAGGTTAATTTTTATTGCGTGCCATTTATAAATAAAGACAATTTAGATAAAACAAAATGACGAGATTGCTTTAAAACATTTGTAAAAATGGACGAAAACTATGGTTATCCCTCCTAACAGTCAATAAATAATCGTAAAAAGTGATAAAAGGCACATTAAGTACTTTTATTCAATGCGCATGCGTAACTTATTTTCACTTATACGTGCCTTTTATCACTTTTTACTGACCGTCAAGGAGGATAAGCATAGTTTTCGTCCATTTTTACAAATGTTTTAAAGCAATCTCATCATTTTGTTTTATCCAAATTGTCTTTATTTATAAATGGCATGTAATAAAAATTAACGCGTCATTTCTCGCTTCTGACGTCACGATTCAATATGGCTGTGATGACTTAGAAGCCTTAATTTTTGTAACAAACTATTCATCGAATTGTGTGTATATAGATATTTTACGTCATGAATACGAAATAAATATAAAACGTCGGTGTAATAAACTTCGTCGTATATCTTAGTCTTATAAATAGAATTTTTTCTCTGGAATTTTAGAAAAAGAAAAAAATAAAATTTTATTCTGTTGAGAAAAACTGTGTACGCGATATATACACGTACATTTCGTACAAGCATGTTCTCACGGTACATTACACCCGCCTAAATTTCAATTTAATGTTTATATTGCAGGATGCTAGTTGTATTAAAAGAAATTTAAAGATATATGGTATCTCGATTTCGTCTACGGTATCTTCTTCACCACATAGACGACATCTTTTATCGTCATCATCACTTCTATTCGTTACTATTAATTCTGGTCCAAGTAAAGAGCCGCACTTATGACATGCTAAAGTCTGCAAATAAATAATATTTATCATAAATATTTTAATCAGATATTTTAAATAATCCGATCTGATATATGATTAAATCATATATACATAATGCTTAATAAGTCTATATCAACATATTTATTAAAAAGAATATAAAAAAATTATATCTTGTTGCTTACTGTTATTTTATCAGAGCAATGAAAGAGACGATCTTGAAGAAGATATGAGCAACCATGAGAAATCAGAGCGTCTCGTTCCATCTCTCCAAATCGAATACCGCCACCGCGTCGACGACCTTTAATAGGTTGCCTTGTTAGCAGGTCAATCGGTCCGGTACTTCTCACCTGAAAATGAGATGTATTTACCCCATTCCGGTTATAATTTAAAAAAACGAATAAGACAAAAAATACCGATCAAATAGGAGTTGTAATCAAAGTCTAAATACACAAAAAGAAATATAAATATAAAATAAAAAAGGAACGTGAAAAATCCTTTAAAAAAGAAGTGCCAATTACGATCAAAATTGGATATTGAAATAATAATTCTATATATTATATGTAATTTATATTAAATATATTTATTTTAGATATACAGGGTGGACCATCTGAAGTGATCCAGTCAAATATCTCGA